GACGCTTCTGCAGCTGCAAACGCAAAAGATCAGCGTGTAACAGTATTTACATTTAATGTTCAATTGAGCTGTATGTCCAAACTTTCCCTTTTGCACCACCTGGTGCTTAGATGCTTTAGAAAGAATGTAAAAACTTTATTATTTTTAAAAATTGATACAACATTTTCCCTAAGGTACGAGCATTTAATCCAATTATTATACATGGCACATTTCATATTCACAAATGTACATTTTTGTCATTTTCACCCCTTTTTTTTTTACATTTTGGTTAAGAAAATTGAATTATATGTATCCACTATTTCCAAAAGTACAAACAAAAAAGCTGTAAATACATATGAATGTTGTAGGTTACCGAGTGTAACCTACAACATTCAACATTCATGTCTGTAATATCTGCTTTCTGCTTTTTTGTACCAATGTATTTACTGCAAGAGTCTACACCCTGGCACATTTTTTCATATCCTATGTTCTGTTCCTTTGATTTTTGTAAACAAAGAGCAAACTAGCGAAGCTACTGATGTATTTAAATGTGCTGTACTGGTGGAAAGTTATGAAACAGATATGTAAGTTAGTACATTTATGTCTGTGTTTAAAAAAAATAAAACAACCAAAAAAAACGAAGAAACTTTTTAAGTCAATTCAGCGCTTTAACCTAAGCTTTCTTTTCTAAAAAATAAATTATAAATGACCAAAAATATTTTCAAAAGGTGACTTATTTCAATCTTCCCCGTAGTAGACCAGAAGCAGAACGAAAACTTTGTCACATTAAACAGTTTTCAGCTAATATAATGATAATGACGTAAGAATCTAAGTATGCCCTTTCAAAGATCAGTAAACTTTGACTTCGAAAGAACTCTGGAACTGGCATATTCAAAATATATAAAGCTATAAATAAAATGGATTATGGAGTCTCTGTGAACAAAATTACTATTCAAAAATATTATTCGTTAGATTCAGATAAAGGAAAAAATAGGCAAAACTATCAGGCAGGACTTTTATAAACAAAAACTACAAACTAACAAAGCAACAAATCTACAACAGAATGGACACAAACCATGTGAGAAATTGATCAGAATCATATTTCTGAGGGTTTATCGCGGCTGAAACTCACCGCCCAGAGGTTGAGTCAGGATATTTATGGCGGAGAGGATCTCGGAGGTCATCTCGGTTTCATCACCTCTCTGTTATAACACGTAACTGTTATTTATTTCTGATATAAACCCCGCAACATCGAGCTACACGTTGCTTCGGCTAAAAACATACATCGAACGAACGCTTGTCTGACGTCATCACGTAGCGCCGATCTAAAGGGGAAATGATTGGCTGACTCTGCGGTGCATTTACTGGACAGCTGGAAACATTAAAATCTCTTTGATTCAATTTAACTCGGATATCAGTCTTCATTTAACAATGTATAAGTGAGTATGGCGTGAATATTGAGTTCAGAGGTGGATAGTAACTAGCTTTATTTCCTCAGTTTGTTTTTCTTAAGCAATTTTTAAAAAAAAATAAATGTACGAAACCTTTTCCTGTTCCTTCTGCCGTCCATTTCTCATATAAAAGTAGAACCTGTAGTGTGAACAGGTTTTGTATTAGAGATGACAGGACAAACACATTAAAAGTAGTCAGTTAAGGTGGACTGGATGGTTTTCTCCAACTCTAGAATTCATGAGCCCAGATTTCATGAAGCGACTGTATAAACTTATTTTGGGCTTCAAGTTTCTCAAACAGCTTCAAAGTGAAGCTTTTTAGACAAAAGACATCTCACCACTAGTCATTTTGTTTAACCAAATAGGTTTTGACACTTGAACAGCTAGTACACTGGTTTAAAGAGAACTGATACTGAGTGAGTCAAAGACTTGCCTATGGTCAAGGGTAATACAACCAAGGTAAACCCAACATAGGACATCCAGAATACATGAACGTATACATTAATTGAATTTTATTATAGTTTTTAAATGTGGAAATCTTATGAGCCACTCCATACCAGTAGGTGGCAGTAGTGCAAATCTTAAGTTTCTTGGCAAAACAAACCTAGAATGAGACACTGGATGAGGTCAGTATTGTCAGGACAAGAGTGGTATGGTACATGTTTGAGGTACTAAAGTCAAATTATTCCTGAGATTGAAGGAGTTTAGTCCTAAATCCTTTTACTACAAATCTGAGGAGTTGCCTTTAATTGCATACAGTACAGTGACTTAGTGGATAGTCATATGCAAGTTAAAGCAAACTCGTTCCTTGATGGGAACAGAATACTTGCACACCCAAAGCAGATGCAAAGGAATGAGAAAATGTAACTCAAGCATGCTGAAGCAGAGGCCCATGTAAAAGTTGCAGGATAGCTGCCCTGAGTGTGTGTAGCCACTTGGCAAGGGTCCACAAGCACGACTTCCCCCTAAGCAGAAAGTAAAGTTGCTTTAAGATAAAATCTTAAAGCATCTTGGAAGATTTGGTTATCAAGGCAGAGATTGTTTCATTTTCACAGCTTTCAGTGAACTAGCACACCAATATTTTCTACCAGAAACCTCAGAAGCCAAAATTTTAGCGCTCTAAAACTACAGTCTTAATGCAAACACTTGCTGTAAAGAAATTCTTTAATACATATCATTTTATTGACTCGCTTTTGGACAGGCTTCCAGTCCTGGGACAGACTGGATGTAAGAGCAGCAGTAGAGTACATCATCTTGATTACAGTGATGATGTACAGCCTCAGGTCTTCAGTAGCCCTTCTGGCCTGGGTGGTGAGGATGTTTCCCTGGGTGGAGAAACACTGGTAGCTGGAGAACAACCGGTTCTGTTCTGTAGCGGAACTGGCTGAACCTCAGCTGCTTGCGGTTGTAGCGCGACTTGGAGTTGTAGGCATAGACTTGATCCTCGTCATCTACAGGAGTGAAGACCAGCTCGTCCTCAGTGCAGGTACCAGATGAAGAGCTCCAGCTCTCTTCTGCAGTCTCATCATCCAGGACAAAAGGGCTACTGAGGCTCTCCATGGAGAGGCTCACTTCAATCTTTAAGCTTAGTAGTTGCTGCTGCTCATTGACTTATTCCTGTGCCTGGCAGGTTCCAGAAGATTCGCTGGCTTCCAACTGATATTGATGTAATAAAGCTCTTCTGTCAAATGTGATCGACTTGACTACTTTGGTTCTTTTAGACTTCATCCCATTATAGGGAGGTTCCAACGCTTCCTGCTGACTTGACCTTGAGGCATGTGCACACACAGAAATATGTAGATTTAGTGTTAACATGTTGGTTCTAGTCCTTGAGGGCCAAGGACCTCTTACAAGAATCTTTTAAACCTAGCTTGCTCAAATTGCTAGTTTACTATGGCTGGTAACTCTTTTTGGATGTACTGCAAGATGTACGATTTGTTTTTTTTTTTGTGCACATTTGTCTGGTCAATTCTGCCAGGCCCACTTGCCACTTTAAATTCAAATACACTGCTGCTGGTCGCATCCAACTTAAAATTCACTTCCACAAGATGATACAACCATACTGCTTTGAAAAGAAGAGCCTTAAACACCTGGGTGTTTAAGTACTTCAACTGTTGGAAACAGTTGCGATTGTCAAAAACAATGTGAGTTTTGCATAATGGGTCATGTTTAAGTTATCAATCCCTGATTCATCTAACAATCTCATCTTAGAAACTGCTTTCCATGTAATTGTAATGTGAAATACGGTGCCAGTAAAACTATGAAAGTGTTATCCAGAAGGTGGACTCTCACCCAAAGTGACATTTTGCTCACGATGTCTGCGTCAGACTGGTACAGTAAAGCCCCACATTTGAATCATACTGAAAGCATAACCTGTGACATCTTAACACCAGAACTCTGCATACTTGCGGTCCAGCATTTTGCAGAGGGAAGACCCAGTATGCAAATGGTTGTTTTTGACATATCTAGGATCAGTTAACTCGTCACAAAGCAACAAACCGTCTTGACAGTTGCTATGGGGAGCAATGTTTACAACGGTTTGCCACATTGTCTTTCCTGTTGAGCACAGACATTTGCTGTGTTGTGACTAGATTGTAAATCAGACCAAGGGACTCCCCCTAGTTGTCTGAGGTTTTTTTTTCTGAGGATGGCTAGATATTTGTTTTGCACATGTACAGTCTAGATCTGAACGGGCACCCGCTTTCAATTCTGTTAATTTTGCTTACATTTGTGATATAAATGCAGCCACTCATGCCTTCCTAGAAGAACCTTTTTAACTTTTGATGTAGAAAGTAGGAAAGTACTCTGTTGGTACAGATGCTGCTACATCTGTAGCAACAGATGTAGCAGCATCTGTTGCTACATGCTAGTCCAGGAGGAATGAATGCTGAAGGTCATTACTGGCATTTCCATTGTAACTGTTCGCAAAACTTTGTCGATATTCCACTAGTGTTGGAAAAAACACCAATATTAAAATCACATTAATTAATTTTCTCAAGTGAAAAGTTATTAAACATGTCTATGGTGCCATGCTCCTACCATTCCCAACCGTCGTCTTCTTTTTTAAGGCGGTTAAAGTGTGCAATACCGCCATCTACTGGAATGGAGTGTGGATCGGGATGCTAACACAGATTTTAAAACTACAATAAACAAAACAAAAATAAATTATACTCTCTCTATTAATTTCGTCTTTTTAAGGTACCTTAACAAAAATCAGATACACAGTGGAAAGTCCTGTAATCTACGTAACAGTTCTGTCTTCCTTGTCCTTTCCGCCAGTAACATCCGGTTGATGATCACGTGACTCTAATCTAAGAAACGTATTTTTCCAAATTGCCGTGTTTTTATGAAATTGGTTTATTTGCTTAATTTGAGTCGCTCAAAATGTGAAGTTTCTGCTGGAAAGTGCAGAGTAGCTTCAAATAAGGTTGAATTTTCTCAGATTTTTGTAAACAAGCATATATAAAAAGTAAGACATAATAAAAAATATGGCAAATAGTACACGCGCTACAATGCATTTATTAAAAATGAGAAGCTGATTAAAATATTGCAGAAAATAAACAGAGCAGCTGATGTTTGATGGGGAAGGCTGCATTTATTCTGGATTTTGAACATACATTAAACCATATGTGCACTGTAAGCAAAAATGTGAATATTTACAAGACAAAAAAATCAATATACACAGAAGAATTATAATACAAGGGGGGGAATCCTTCAGTAACCCTTACAACATAACATCCTTTAAACACATGAAAGTTTTGAATTTAGCAAAAACTAGAGGGTTGTTAGATCTGAAAATTGCAGCCACCTTCTGAGTTTTAAGGAGATAAACATGAAACGTTTATCTGCTCGCTCAGCTTTTCTCTTCAGTGCATTTCACTTTAGTTCCAAATGTAACTCAGAACTGAAAACAATAAGAAAACCTCAGGATCGAGGTGTAATCAGAAGATAAATATTGTAGTGTTTGTTTCCATCGCTTCCAAACCAAGGTTCATAACTCACCGAATACCTCAGAACTGAACGCTCATCCAACTCTGATGGGTTTTCTTTGTATTTTTTTTTTTTTTAAAGAGATCATCAAAGCAGTAAATTCTGGTTTGTTGTGGGAATTTTTAAGCTCAGGATCCTCAGTCAACTGTTTACAAACCTGGGTCAAGTTGTTACACATTCCTACACATTTTGAAGGAAAATATGGATGTTTCTCACAAAATAACAGGTTGCCCTCCCCACTCAACCATGTTGCTACTGCTGCAGTTTGCAGCTTGTGCCACTAGATGTCACTACAACCTGCACCACATGCCTCTGAAAACAGCTTTATGCTGACCTGCTTCTATATTTTCCTAAACAAACTTTAATACATTGTTACCACCTTTTATTCACTGAACTGATTTTTTAAATAATCCATGTACGTTTTCTGCAAAACGGTCTCAGAGCTCATCAACCAGCTGGAAAAAAATGTTTTACTGGATGAAAAAAGGTAAAAATAAACAAGTTATTTCCTTCTCAACCAACTTGGTGCTGAACCAAAGCAAACTAACAATTTAAGCAGCATTTCAGGATATTTATTTATATAAGGTGCTATAAAAGCTGAGTTTGATTAATATCAACCAAACTGTTCATAAATCCAGATTTAAACATAAATTTGTAGACTTTCAAATCGAAAGCTGGCATTTATAAATGCAGCTTGGAACTGTGTGTGTAACTCCTGACTGGAGGGCTGCTTGAAAATGTCGTAAATAGTGTTTATAAATGTAGCCTGATGCTTAAAGCAGAAATTAGAAATCAGATTGGTGATAAATGGCCATGCTGATCTCCCCAAAAATTCAAAATGGAGGATTAAACTAAAGCCGGTTGATTCTGGTTTACCTCTAGAACCAGTGTGGTGGTAAAAACAATTATTCATCCTGAAAAAAATTACTTTCCATCTTTATGTATGTTGTTGGACAATGCCATCGCCATCTAGTGGTCAGGTTTGATCATTTCAGGAACAAGTTGGTACGTAAAGTCGACGCGTTTCTATGCTTCAGCAGCAAAATGGAGGGAAAGCGAGGAGGGCGACCAGTTGACTGAAAGTACGATTTCCAACGGTAAACACTTATAAACAAAGTTAACCCTCTTCAACATGAGATTCTGTGTGTCTTGTTAAACTCTCCCAACCTTCAGAGTGAAAGTTGAAAGTCTTGTCGATCGCTAGCAGAGATTTTATTCCCAGACAAACACAGAATTTTTCTTGCTGAAATACAGAAATCGTTTTGGTTATGTTCTGCAGACAGTGGTGCTGCTCACCTCGATGGACCAGAAAGCAAAAGATAAAAAAATGATGGAAAAAAAAAATCCCAGAAAATATTCATTGCAGATAGCAGCTAGTTTAATAAACAGTTTCTGTGCCCTCCGACGAGGAGAAGAAGAAGATGGTGGTCGGGCGGCGGTTCACCCCAGCAGCAGACCCGACAGCGCGTTCAGGTCCCTCATGTACGGGTTGTCGCTGAGGATCCGGTCGATCCGCTGCTTCTGGTCAGGAAAGATATCGTACAGCTTCCTCTTCAGCTCTGATGTCTCCCCCGGCGACCGCTGCGGCGGCGGAGCGGGCGACGGCGAGGGCGAGCGGCGCGGAGGATGCCACTCGGGCGGCCCGGAGTGCGGCCAGTGTGCGGTGGGGTGGGCCGTCAGGGAGGCGGGGTTACGCAGAGTCTGGACGTTAACGGGCTGCTGCTGCTGCTGGGACGAGGCCCGGAAATCCGGAGGGTGGAACAGCGGCGGGGAAACTGTCCTGGAGAGAGAAGAAGAAGAAACAGGCTGCAGATAAATCCCGAACAACCAGAGTCACAGATACACAGCGGATGGCTCACCTGTTGTCTTTCCGCAGGAAGTCGTCCAGGTGGGGTCCGTCTTTTCCAAGTGGGTCGTCAGGAATCATGAAGTGATCCTCAACGAAGGTAAACTGAAGAAGCCTGTCAGGAAACGCAAAGTGCAGCGTTCACACAAATGGAAAATTTCATATTGAAAAACCAACAGCAATTTGTAAAGGTGAGCTATTATGCTTCCTTTACCTGGCTAGGACAGGTGTGTTTTAGGGCCTCTGTCACTTTAAATCCAAATAAGCTGCTGCTGGCCACGCCCCCAAACTCAAAGTTTACACTCACAGGTAGTAATGGGCTTTTACAGTATTGTCATTTATCGTGATCAGTAAGCAACAGAGCAGTATTTAAAAAAGTCCAGAGACTGTTTGACTCTTTACAATAAATATCACATTCAGTAGAATTTCCCATGAAATGCCCCAGAAAACTCACTTTGAAATGGAAAAACATTCGGTATTAGATTTCAGGAAAACCTGGTCACATAAATTTCTTCTCGTGAAATTCAGTTTTAAATTACTAACATACATTAGGCTGTGTTTGGAGCCCGGACAGTCCTCAGTTTGACAGAATCACCATCCTTTTGTGTTTCTGTGACTAAATGTTAGAATGTAATATAAAGGGAATGAAGAAAAGCTGCTTTCAGGTAAAATATGGTGCTCACCTTGATGTAATACACAAACCAACCAGTAGGTGGTGAGAAAATCACAGAAAATAAAAATATTTCTGAGTGTCTACAGCTGCTTTTAGCATTTAAACTTTGAATAAATATCAGCTGTTAACACTCACATATTTCAGCAAAATGGCAAAAAAAAAAGTATTTATATTTACATTGCATTGTCTCTTTAAATGTTTCACTAGAAAACTAGGAATAATTTAGACATTTAAGACTTATTTTGATTAAAAATTATTTTATCTTCTGGTCTGTAAATGAATCTAAGAAACATTGATTATCTCCAATTAAAGAAGCAAAACATTATAATATCATGTTCCATTAAAATATAATACAAATGTGAGTCAATGAAAAGAAAAATAGAAAATGTGCCACGGATATTATGGAATACATTAAACACGTGAATATTTCACTAATTAGAACAAGTTCCTGTGAAGATTCTGTTTCCTCTTTCTCAGAGGAACTTTTTCAGTAAAGCTAAACAAGCTATAAAACTTTATTAGTCAGCTGCGTCGCTGGACTTTCCAGCATCTCTCAGGGTAATGAAACACACGTCAGCGTCTGACAAACTGAACTCTACAAATCGCAACCAATCACCTCTCTTGAATGATCCGACGCCATGTGTCCGAGGTGTCAACAAAGTCCCGCAGGTTGTCGTTGGTGACGATTATCCCGTCTGTCTTCTCTGCTAGGTGGAGCAGGAACCTGGAAAAAAAAAAAAAAGAGGCAGAGTGGATTGTTTGGATTAGACACTCAGGATTTTCCCGGCGTTCAAAGGTCAGACATTTCCAGAGCGGAGAGGAAAACCTGAAGAGCTCAGTCAGGATCCTGTTTTCAGTCTGAAGGCATTTATGACACAATCTGACTTCAAGTGGAACCGGCAAACTTTCAGAGATATTTCCAGAGTTTCCTCAAATATCTATTCAATGCCAAAGCTTCACATTTAAGAGATTTAACAAAAGGATGAGGCTTCTCTTGATCATTTGTAGACCATCTGAAAAACTTGAGTAAAAGTTTCATTTCAGTTTTCTTCCACCAGATTTTCTCATTTACAGAGAAATAAATTAGCTTCTTATGCTAGCTACACTTTACCACATTTTAGCTTATTTAAAAATTTTTTTATGTTGCTAGCTTACTTTTTCTAGGTTTAGCCCATTATTGTTTTTTGTTTACACAATTTAACTTAGTTTATCTTACTATCACTTAGTTCATATTGGTAATTTAGCATGGGTAGGGTAACCAACCTAAATGTTTTCTATGTAAATATGTAGCTGTGCTTTTTAAGCCACTTTTATGGTGGAAAATGAGGTGAAAACGTTTTTTATTTTTACCTGTCGTCATGTGAAGATATTCTCTGGCCGCAGACTTCTCTGGAGGGGGTGAAGGACAGCAGCCGCAGGTCTTCCAGCTGGTTCAGAAAGTGTTGCTCTGGAATAAAAAAAATATGGCTAAGAACAAGATATGTGGAGTCAAATGATGATCTGAAGTATTTGAGTAAATTAAAAATGTCCCTGAATTTGGGGTTTATCACTTTGTGTTGAGATTAGAGGTTTGTAATAATGTGGAAAATACAAGGCCAGTATCTCCAACATTGATACCTTTTCTTTTTATTATTTTTGTTTAAACCTAAAATAGAAATAAAACTTATAGGTGTTTCCAAAATATTTTAAGAACACATTAATATGATAAGAGAGGAAAAATAATAATCAGATAATGATACCAATTTGGTCTCAATATCATCATTGAGAACTGGATGAAACAGCTGCAAAACAGTCGAGATCAATAATTATTGATTAGGTTTGTGTTTTAAATATCTGAAATACTGCCAACTGGTGGCATGACCTTTCCTGTTTTAACTGTAGTTTTCACTCCACATCGTTTTATTATTATTATTTTTAGGCAGTTATGAGGCAAAACCTGACACTGCTGCTGTACAAGTTACTTAACAAGCTGTTGCTAGGCAACCAAAGAAGGAGTTCCCACTTTGGTTACCTAGCAACCCTGAGAGTTTGACCAGCTAAAGTCTTTTTCTTCAATTCCCAACATGCTGTAAATATTGATTATTGAATATTCTATTAAACGTATTATCTATCGAAATATTTATATGTGTATATATAGCTAAACACAGAAAGATGCTTAGTTTTGAACTTTAAGGTGAGCTCAGGTTTACCTGTAGCGAGTCGGTCTCTCTTCTGACGCCACTGTGGAACGAACACTGTGATCTCCCTGTGGCCTCTCCGCCAGAACATTTCCACGGCCAGAGCAATGCCGCGGCACGAAAAGAACCGGTGAAGGCCATGACTACAAAAAATAAAAGGAAATTAAACTTCAAAACGATGTAAAAAGATGCAATGGAGTAGGTCTGAAGCCAACGGTTATTTTAGTTTTCTATCGATTATTCTGACAATTAACATGATAAATTCTGCAGATTTTTCATTTAATCTCTTAAGCTTGTTTTTACAATATTAAAATTCCGTAAAAAATGCAAACAAACAGAATTCAAATCCTTTTTAAAAAATAAAATGAACAATTTATTGCCTCTGTTGCAGTAACATAGCATTCCTTTTAGTGTATGTTTGATAATTTGTAGCAAATGATGCATCTACAGCAAAACGACTAATTCTAACGTCTACATGTGAAAAGCTCGGCCATTTCTGCTTTACTTTACATTAATACAGCGTAAGCCTAATCTGTTGAGTATTTGGATTAACCAATTATTGACTGTGTAATAAAATTTGAACCAGATGAAGATAAAGCTGCCCCTGGAGGAGTTCTGGGTAAAAATACTTACAGAAACAGAAGTTTTTTTCATATTAAATGCAAAATGTACACATTTTTGGTACATTATATTATACATATACATTGCTTAATTGTAGCTCTGACTTGGGGCTGAGCATTTATTGTATTGCTTATCCTTTATTGTGATAAATTTCCTGTCATAAGAATTTTGAATGTCATTAATGATGTTTAATACACATTTTGCAGAAGTCTTATTTAATTTCAGATGCAGCTTCATAAAAGTGTGGGGAAATAAACTGAATCAGCAGCTCAAAAAGGGTAAATCTTTTTAATTCAGGGGTGTAAAATATGAGTCTTGCTTTGCAGAAATTCACCTGAAACTGAATGCACAAACATCTGTGACTATGATGCAATCAGAAACAACGAACCCAAACATTTTAAAGATTAGCAACAACTTCAAAGAAAACAGGCTTTAATTAGCCTCTACAAAACTTCCAGGAGACACAATTTAAAATATCAGCTGACACACAATGTCGCCGGTGACGTGCACAAACTGCAAGCGCACGTCAGATGGCTCCAGTTCAACATGCTGGTAGGTAAGGCAACAAAAACCACAACGCAAACAACCAGCAGCAGCCCAGATGAGAAACTCCCTGAGCAGGAAGCTGCAGACAGATCGCACAACTATCGACGTTATCAGAGCCAGCAGATCTCTGGTGCTGTTCATCAGGCCCAAACCACCAAACCAATACGTGTCAGGGATTTTTCTGTTTGTTTGTTTGAGCAGCAATGTTTGTTAAAAATAGCACAAAGTTTCTGTCATCACTGATGGATAATTCAGGTACAACAATTAAAAAAAATCCTGGAGGCAAATTAACCTGCCTCAAAAATTATAAAAATTTTTGTAATAATAAATACTGTTAAGCTATTCGGCGCAGTGTGATCTGGCCGGAAGGTTATTTATGTTGCACAACATCGCTCTCGCTTCTGCTAACGCCTACGCTGTTGACGCAAGTATGCTAGGTGCTATTTTTAGCTATGGAGAGAGACGTAGGCCTGTCACGATAACAAATCATGCTGGACGATATGATTGCAACTAACGATTATTCTGATGATTAATTGGATAAAATAGATGGCCACATTCTGCAGATTTTTCATTTAACCACTTAAGAGTTTTTTCTTTATATAAAAAGACGCAAACAAGTAAATGGTTCAATTCCTTTTCTAAATAAGAAAACCTTTTTTAAAATGCAGTGCCAGCTTTCATTTAGTGAACGCTTGAGCTTTTGTAGCAAAAGATGAATCTGCAGCTAAAAATGCTTCCAAACATTAAAAGGTTAAACTCTCAGCCTTTTCTGCTTACAGTGAAGAGCTGATCTGTTGATTTTTTTAAGTAACAATTAAAGAGATTAGTCATGATTAATCATCAACTAATCTAGTAACCTGATCAAATCTGAATATTTTTCTGCATTAACCAATTAATAATTGGATACCAAAAGCAGATTTTTTTAGATTCAGGTGAATCTTAAACTAAGCCACTCAGAGTTTTGTCTGTACCATGTTCTCAGGAGTTAAAATTTTTAAATTAAAATTCCTCCTCGTCATGAGAATATCTCTCCCGTCTGCGCTGGTTCTTTCCCTTTCTGCTCGGGTTACTATCGAGTTTTAGATCTGGACTCACGTGAGCTGTGGTTTCACAGAGACGCATGCAGGCAGCCTGAACAGGTTAGTGATGCCACAAACAATATTTAGCAGCTTTCCTTCCAGGCTGACGTTACGCGGCCAAAAGAACAACCAAGAAGGAAGATTATTGGGACTTTTGGGGCAAACGGTGATGCAATGAGTTACAAAGCTGCAGCAGAAACAGGCACTAAAACACGGCAGATGCTGTCATAAACTAAAGAGATAAAATTTTCCAACTTGAAATCTGAGGAAGTTGCTGCCGAGACTTGTGATACTGATCAGGGGGAAACATTGCAGACCCGTTTCACTTTCCCTGGTGTTTTAACTCTACAAACATGTCAGAGTCTAAACAGGGTGCATTCAGAGGCAGATCGTTTTCAGCCAGGGGTCAATGCAAGCAAAGAGCAGGGAAGTTCCCACAGCTGCTGAGAGAGAAAGTGATGAATGACATGAAAGTGGGGTAAGTCGTGTAATAATCACCAAACTCTGCGGAAACGCAACCAAAGGAGGGAAAAGGGCTCAACTTCATTTGAATGATTTTAAATAAGTGTTTTTTAGGATCAGGGCATGTCCTGGTCAGTGAGCCTTCACTGGGACGTTTTTTTAAACTAAATAAAAACTTTTTGAAATATTATTTAGTGATAAACTCTCAATAAATTAGATTTTATAATAATTTCCTGACAGATTTGATCACTGAAGAGGTTTTTTCTAACTAGCGCTGAAACAATTAATCAGAATAGTCACGATTAATCGATTATTGACATAATTGTCAACTATTATAGTCATCAATTAATCGTTAACTGGAATATACAGATTCAAGAAAGGCCACTTGCTAAAAAATGTGCACACTCAAAGCAGTAATTACGCAAAAACTGTACTAAAAATAAATGCATTTTGCATTTAAGATTAAAAAAGAACCTTCTCTGAACACTCAAAGCAGCAATTAATTGTTTTTATCTGATTAATCATCAAAATAATTGATAAAATAACTTCAGATCTTTAGCATGGAGAGAACAACTGTAGAAGTAAATCAAGACGGACCTTTTTACTCTGTACTGGAAGAAATTGTTTACATAAATCACATCTGGACTTTGCTATTTTAAAATGATATACTCTGTTAAACTAGTACTTTTCCATCAATATTAAAGAATAATTGACTTAAAACAAGCTCTTATATCTACCTGAAATGCTACTGATGAGTTAGTTTTGATTTATTTCAAGTGTACTAAGATTTTTGCACCAAAATACTTGGTAATACTTGGTGTTTTTGCAGTGTAACGAGGGTTGTCGGAGTAAATGGGGTTGAAAATAAATGGATGATATACTTTCTGCTATTTATTTGTCACATAAAATCCCAGTGAAACACTTTGGTGTTGTAAGAAAAACAGGCAGAACCGAACTGCTGGTCATGTTGAAACATTGGGCTGAGTCAGAGGTGCATGATGGGCACAGTTCGGGTAAAGCAGGAGGAAGGAAGGAAGAAACCAGAACGTGAAAGGAAGTAGTTGTACAAGCAGAGAGTCAGGATAAGGTCATGCAGGATGAAGACCGAACCCATAAATCAAAGTGAAAGCAAAAACTTCTTTCATCTTCATCTGCACATTAAATCTGTGACAAACAGCTTCTGGATCAATCAGAGATTGAAATCGCTGATTTTCTTTTTGTTACTAGAAAAGGTATTTTGTTCTGAGAAACACCTCCGTAACGAGCCGCCCTCGCTTCGACATGGTGCAACAGCTGCTCTGAGGCCTGCGCACAGTCATACCCAAACGTGATGAGTCACAACAACATGTGAAGGCGTGGGCGCGCCAACGACGCCGGGGTTGTAGCACAGACCTGCACGCATGGTTTTGTGTGGCGCGTGCATGAAGCGGCGACGGTGCTGATGGGAAGGGGGCGGCTTCGCGAGTCAAAAGGAGAACATGTAGTACGCGGTGTGGGACGCGACACCAACTTAACACAGATTCGATTTGTCATCAGATGAGTTGCAGCTTCACACAGATTCTTAAAAAAAAAAAAAAAATCAAACTAAAACTGATTCTGACGAAATATCAACATGAGCCGGTTATGACTGGCACTTATTACCAACATTTACTCCCTTCTTTGTTTTTGTATTATCTCAGAAAACGAGGATTGACTCAAGCGGCGCTTAAAGAAAATCTCAATTTCAGCCAAAAAAAGCCAATGACTGATCGCTTACGGTGTGCCAGTAACTCCTGTTTACACCTGAACCACAGCGGTATCGCATTTTCACCCCAAAGGTGAGTAATGAGGGAGGTGGACGATTCTTATCAAAATGTTAGTCATGGTTTTTCTTAAACGTGAAATCAGATTGTCATTCTGTCACAAAAAGTCTTATTTTTGCTGATAAAGCTGAGGCTGTTTCTAAGAATTACACGTAAGCCTTTTTTTAATATATAATATTAGAAATACAGAAAACAACTTAATTCCTTTTTGAAATAAAAAAAAATAAAAATTTTATTGCCTAAAATGCAATAACATTATTTTTGTGTATGCTTGATCATTTGTAGCAAAGGATGAACATGCAGGTAAAAAAGGCTCAGTCTTTCCTTTGACTTAACATTAACACAGGATTAATTATCAGTAATATCGATTAATTGACGACTTCGACATTTTTGGTCCCAGCAGGCCTGAACTGTCAGTTTCAGGCCTGCTGCAATAGTTTATTTTCAATACACACGTGTCAATATTCTTTGTTTATTGTGAATCATATGAGATTTTATGTGGCAGGAAAAGGAGCCTACGCTTCTCCTCCTACTCTAACACTTCCAGTTCATCATCTCAAGAGTTTTGTGGCGACTCGACACCTAAAGGACTGAAAGTGACCAAGAAGTGAGAAGCTGTGTGCAGACTCACGCCATCGCCACGTTGCTGCCGTCTATGATGATGTGCCTGAGGTCCGGGTTCCCCCGCTCGTTCGGCAGGTTCAAGGTGAACTGGGTCCGCAGCGACTGGTGGAACCGGGCCAGGCCGGTGACCGGCGGGGCTGGCGGATCGTTGGCAGGCGGGGTCCGGGCCACGCCACCCTGGAAGTTCACGTGGCTGATGGTCTGGTAGGCAGAGGCTGCGGTCCGGTTGATGGGCTGAGCCGACTGGGAGGACACAGGAAGCAGGAACACTTAGGGGAGGGAACTCAGAGCAGCAGCTCATTCTCAGCTTTAAGTCAAATCTGATGTTAGAAAGTAACACTACAAAACATAAAAAAACTAATGAAAGTAAATAAAAACTAATAAAACAGAGCAAGACTCCAAGGCTGGAGTCATGTCCAACTACAGAATTAAAAAGAGCAAAAACTCAACTAGTCTAGGTTCGCTAGCACTAGAAACGCGTGTTTCTAGCGTTAGCGAAATAAATTTTTATGATCTTATGACCAAAGACAAAAAAGAAATCCTACAACTGCTAAAATCTGACAACTCCATTTTTGTTTACATTTCAAAAAGAAGGAAGTTGCACTCAGGTTCTTCTTCAGAGGTTTCTGTGTCATTTCCTTCAGTTGTTCATGGAGCAGCGCCCCCACAGGCGAGGAGGGTAACATGTTTTGACTCAGTGCAGTATGACAGAACCGCAGCAGATAAAAATATATCAATGTTGTTTTTTGGTCCCAATTAAACTGAGTCTACCAACTATCAGGTGTAAAAACACCTTTAATCACTTTTCATAGCATTTAGTAAAACTGGAGAACGATTTGCTATAAATGGACAAACAGGGTAGCAGTTGTTATGGAATAACTACAATCAAAACGTCAGCACTGAAAAAACACAAAAACTCACCAAGTATTTTTGTGAGTATCTTAGTACACTTAAAATAAGACAAAACTAAATTACTATTTTTAGCAAGATGTCAGAGCTTGTTTAAAGTCAGTAACTCTTTAATATTGATGAAAAAGAACTAGATCCATCCAGATAAATCCACTTATAACAAGACATTTTTTCCCTGTTATCAGTGAAATAATCTGCCAAGGGAATAAGAACCGTTTCATCAATACTAAATCATTGACTTAAAACAAGCTCTGACATCTTGCTGAAAAGTTACTTATGAGTTAGTTTTGAATTAAAGTGTACAAAGATATTTGCACTACAAACTACACCAAAAATACTTGGTAAGATATTGTGTTTTTACAGTGCCTGAGCCTGGACTGGATGGAGAAATTAACCCATAATTCAACAAAACCAAACAAACAGAAACTCACGCTGGGAGTTGAAGCCAGAGAGGCGTTACTCAGCCACTGCGCCGTGCTGCGCAGCGCCGTAACGCTCTCCACCTTCACTGGTCCGCCCAAAGTTTGAGTCCCACATCGAGACAGGTAGTCCCGCTGCGTGACCCCGCCCCCTCCTCGCGCCAGGTAGTCTGTTCGGGACCCGGACTGCGTGGGGTCAGGGTGCGGCATCGTCATTATCCGGGACATTCGACCGTCTGCCGTTTTGGCGCTGGTGGGGATGATGTTGTCGTCATCGTCGATCGTAATCACTTCGTAGTTCCCTGCTCCGCCCTGAGCACTGGAGCTTCTCTTGATTGTGATGGCCTAAAAAGGATGTGATACACAGAAATAAATACATGTTTATTTATTTAAACAAATTTAATCAAGATTTCTTCAACTTTAAATTGTTACTTTAAAGTTTAAGTGTGGGGATTAAAGTCTGGAAGCAGCAGCTTTGCAGATTTTCCTCTGCAAAGCTGCTGAAACTCTGAATTCCTTTAAATCAAGGCTAAAACCCCCATTTGTTTAATACGGTGAACCAATTCATCAGCAAGCTGATTTATTGGTGCTGATTTCACTAATTTTGGGAGATCTGTGATCCATTGATACTTTGATGTGAAGCCGATCTTTTCAACCTCAACAAAGGTCTAGAAATGAACCCCGTCTTCTTCTGCTCTGCAGTGAGAGGTCTGACTGACAGGCCCACCAGCTCAGGTCTACACGTTTGCAGTCGCCCCACTGTTAGAAAACTCAGCAACTTTCTTGCTATATATTCTGCGACGTTTCAGACAAAAAAATTCAGTACCGGCCAAAATCGGAATCGGCAGTCAGGTTTTTTAAAGATCAATAATTGGAGATCGGCCAAAAAACTGCAATCGGTGCACGCCTAGTCTGTAGCTCTGTTATACTGATCTGTTATAGTAAAACAATGACTGGTTGCAGCCCCATTCAAGATTCGTCCTTGGTTTTACAACGTTTATTCTAGTCTAGAGTGATTCTTTATTTGTCCCTTAATAACAAAATGTATTGGTATGCACAGCAAATTGACAGATTAATGGAAGCTTTAAAACGTAAGGATTGTGCTGTAATGGCCAGAAATGAGGATTATGGGATTATTTGTGGCTTGATGTGAGATTACCTGCTGAGTGCTCGTCTCACTGCCGCTGCACTTCCGCCGGTGTCCCAACCCGTTGCTGCTTCCTCCTCGCTGGCTCGGCTTTATGTTCTCCTTCGACCTCCCAGAGTCTCCCAGCTCCTTTTCCCTGAAACGGGACGTCATTGACGAGGCCGACGAAGACGAGGAGGAGGAAGAGGAGGAGGAAGAGGAGCAGAGGGTGTCGGCGGGACGCACGGAGTTCATTCGTCTCTCTCTGTCCCCTACTTTGCAGTCCTGCTCACAACGTTTGGTTTCTTCAACTATTTTCTCCAGGATTAGAAAGGTGTCCTCCGTCTGCCCCGTCGCCTTGACGACGCGCTCCACCACTTCCTGCTGGTAGCCCATGGTTCTGGAAAGGAAAAGTAAATCTCACAATATAGCTACAACTTTTAAATGGTGCCCAAGGTAAAATTCAAGCCCTTAAAGTACATAATTTGTTACTGTTATTAATAATGTTTTGTGGTATTGTGCTTTATTCTACAGCAGGGACAAATTTTAGGTTTTGAAACATCTCTCTCACCTTATACAGAGAACACATTTGGTGCACTGTACAAGATTATAATAGCATAAGCTAATTCAAATTCAAAACACTTTATTGATCCCAAAGGGAAATTAAATGTTGTAACACACATTAATTCAATTTAACTAATAAATTAATTCAAATCTACAATCCCGTGACAAATTACAAAAACAGATATAATACAACATCTCTTCCAGTTGACTAAAAGTGCTGGAGCTCAGCTTGGGTTGCTAGGTAACGGGCGGAACTCTGCTGGGGTTGCTAGGTAACGGGCGGAACTCTGATGGGGTTGCTAGGTAATGGGCGGAACTCTGATGGGGTTGCTAGGTAACGGGCGGAACTCTGATGGGGTTGCTAGGTAACGGGCTGCGCTGTATTGGGCTTAGTAGGCATGGGGCAGTTCCTACTTTCAAAAGGATTTTGACGACAAAAAACATTAATTTATTGCCAAAAAATTGCTGGGTGTTTTTGTCTTTAAATGCAGCTGAATCCCAAATGGAAAAACAAAAACGTGCAAGGTGTGAATTTCCCTTTCAAGATTTACCTGAAAAAGTTCACCAGGCAGCGGAGGTTGGTTTCTGGGCTGACAGCCTCACCGTCGTCTGGTACGGCCTCGCCGGACTCCTGTGTGATTGGACCGGCCACCGTGTTCGCTTTCCCTGAGTAGCAGGAGGAGGAGGAGGAGAGCGTACAGGATGCAGACGGGGTTTTGGACCTGCAGCTGCTGCCGGCACCCCGGACCTCCCTGTCCCGAGGTCGCTCCCTCGCCGTTCTCTCTGGCGACTCCTCCTTCCGTTCCAGGGAGTATTGTCTCTTTGTATCCCGAGTCTCGCTCTCGGATGAGCGCCGCTTGTGTGAGGGTCGGGTGCCGTTGAGCAGGACCGCTTCTGGACCCAAACCCGCCTTCCCGCCTGCACAGACAGACGCCGCCGCCGAAACGCCTTTCTCCTCAAAGCTGGTGTCCAGGATGCGGTTGGAGAGCTCTGTCACTGGAGTGCTGCTCTGTGAGCGGTCCTGGTCAACCTCCGCCATGCTGGGAAGCAGCGCCTGGTTGACCTGATAGTGGGAATAAAAATGATTCACTGAAAAAACAGAAAATACTACCAAGTATTTTTGGTCCAATTTTGTCTTATCTCAAGTATATTAAGATATTTGGACTAAAAAATAGACCAACATTCAAACTCAGGGCTCAAAACTTTTGAGTACAAATGCAGCTAATTTGAGCCATGGTGCAAAAACTGAAATGATTAATTGATTATTGAAATATTCATCAACTAATTCATTAGTCGTTGAATACAGTAAACAGACTCAAACAGGTAGGCAGAGGAAAGGCTTTAGATGCTCAACCTCACGGCTAACTAAGCTGGGTTGGTGGCATCAACTAGCTCACTCACTCTTTGGTTACCTAGCAACAACTTGCTGGATAATAAGAACTTTCAAGTACCCTCCAAATTTGGTTGCCTAGCAACAACCTGCACAGTGACTTGCGCAGCAGCAGTTTTTGGTTTTGTCACTGTGTCTCATAACTGCTTAAAAATAAAAAGGTTGTGAAAACTGTGGATAAAACAGGAGGTTATGCCAACAGTTTGGTATTATTTCAGATATATAAAACAAAAAAAACTGATTAATAATTATCAACAGATATGAAGTGCTTGCATCATGATAAGTTTTTCATCCAGGCCTGACTCAACTGCAGAAATAAATGGACCTTTTGATGATTTTCTGATTATTCTGTAAGTATAAACCTGCATTTTTTCCCTAGAAGCGTTTGCCATAGATCATATGGATTTAACCAACCAGTGCCGATGTGTTTGTGCTGGTGGGGCTGTGAACCAGTCCCAATAACTCCTCCTTCAGAGCACTGGGCAGCAATAGGAGCTCCATGGTGTATTTATCATCTCTTTCCTCCACGAAAGACTTGAACGCTCGCTTCACCGCCGATTCTCTGTCACTTGGCAGACTCTTCTTCTCCTGCACAGAAAACACAAACAAATGAAGAAAAAACTCTAAACAACTGCCAACTTAGCAACTTTGATGAACGTAATTTCACCAGTCCTACTTGGAAGAGAGCAACAAACTGCTGAACTCTGCTTTGCGCCATCACAACAGGCTCAGCTCGGCCCACCAGCCACAGACGGCCCGGTTCCGGCACCAGAACCTCGGCGCTGGTGTCCCGTATGAGCCTGTCCAGGAAGAGGCCCCGGGCCCCGGCGAAGATGCAGTGCATGTCCGTGGGATAGTGCTCCTCTTTCTGCAGCTCCGGGTCGCAGAGCCCTCGAACATACTCCTTCAGAGAAAAAACTAAAACATTAATGCTGCAGCTTACGGCTGTTTTAGTAATCAAGCATTCTGACGAATAAAATAATAAATTAGAAAAGATAACTCATTCAATTTCTTTTTTAAATTAGAAAATTAACATTTTATTGCCTAAAGTGCAACAATATAGAATTACTTTGATGATTTGTTACAAAGGATGCATCTGCAGCTAAAAAAAATACTTACAATAACATGAGAAAAGCTATAAGGATAACCTTTTTTTTGATTAACTCATTATTAACTGAATAGCCAAAGGTGCATGTGTATTTTTTACAGCTTTATATTACTACAGTGTGTCCTTCCAGCAAATGGCCTTTTTTATTAATGTGCATACTCCAGGTAACGATTAATCAGTTACTAAATTAGCTGATTATTTCAATAATCAATTATTACGATTAATCTGATGAATCATTTAATAATTGAAGAGCAAAAGGTATTTAATAAGAGATAATCTTCTCAGAATTTGACACTTGGCGAGTTTCGGGAAGAACATATTTACAAAGTTTTTTTCATTAAATACAAAAGGTATATACATATTTTACAGCTTTCGCTTCATTACTGCTCCGACTATCATTCTTTCAGCAAATGGCCTCTTTTAGGGTCTTTATATTCCAGTTAACGATTAATCAATTACTAAATTAGTTGATTATTTTAATAATTAATTAATCACAATTAATCATTTCATCCCTAAAAAATGGATTTCAAAATCACAAAAGAGCAAAATTCTTCATATTTAAGCAAATGCGAAGAGAGAAAAAAAAGAAAAAAGAAAATGAAAGTAAGGTCGGAAGATATTTGTATTAATTTACGTCACGTTTGGCTGAAACTGAACAATTTGCAATGAATCAGATTCAGATACTGTTTGGGTGAATCAGCAGCGTTCTGACTGATAATGTGACACACCCGTTTAGCATTCATGAAACACTCGACATGAGGGAAATTAGTCAACAATGACCCCAGGAGAGGAGCTCAGGTCTGCGTTAGTCAAGAGAAACAAGGTCAGGCTGATTCAGCTTTTACTGAAAAGACTGTTTAAAATAAAATAAACTTTTATAGAAACTGGAAATAATAAAAAAAAAACACCATCAACTTCATAAAAGTAATAGATATTAAATTACATTTACTGAAAAAATCANTTTACAATAAAATAAACAATTTTTAAAAAAACATCGAGTTGACAAAAATACAAACATAAGTATAAACGGTCCTTATTAAAAATTTAAACCTAAAAAAATTGTCTATTCAACTCATGAAAAATGTGAGTTTCATAATTGAAAAAAAAATCTAAAATTCAAAAAGAATAAATAATATAATAAATGACCTTTAAACCTGAAATAAATGTATTACAAGCTAACAAAATATATATATGAAAGTTGAAAATTCAAAACTATACATCAAGTTGAAAAGAATAAAACAAACAAAACCTTTTAGTGAAAATATAAAACTGGATAAAACAATGTATTACTGGTTAACTAAATAAAAAATTATCATAAAATTTTTAGAAAACATAAAATTGATTTTAAAAAAATAAGCCTTTACTAAAATTAAATGTATTACAAGTTAATAAATTAAAAATATATCTCAATAAAAGCTGAAAAAGACCCCATTCAAATTTAAATATAACATTAAATATAGAATAAATAAAATAATTAGTCTTCACTGACTGTAGCTAGCTAGATCTGTCAGTAACATTGCATTTTGATATTGGCCCAAATTTTCATATCACTTTATATGATAATTTTGATATCTCTGATGAATTTGCACTCAAATCTGACGATTTTAGTCATTTATTTACATATCGTATCGTAAGATAAGCAGAGCTGGGCCAATATTAACGACCGATGTTTGTTTGCATCTCGTTGTCATTCGTTTTTCAACAGGAGATTGGTCATGTGACATTTGTTTGGTCATGTGATACTGATGCAGTGCAGGACCGAAACATGTTTCAAGCAGAGAATAAATGTAGGCATTGTGGTTGTTTTCTTAATGTTTCGAGGAAAAATACATGTAGCATCGGTAAATATCAGTTATCAGCCATTACAACTAAGTTAACATCAGATAAATGACATTTCCTAGCTGTACCTGAAGCCATTTTAAAACTTTTGGACACAAAAACTGAATTTAGAGAGTCTGGATAAACAGAAACACTGAAGCTAAGCTTTCTGGTAGTAGGAAGCTAAAACTGACTGCTGCTCATCATTGGAGGCTGATGAAATCTCCACTGAAACATTTTGGTTTTGCTTGACTGGCAGAGCTCAAAGCAGCTGCTGAAACACGACCAAGACTCGTGACACAGGATGCAGAAGTGTGAAAGAGTCTCTTCTGTGGGAAATTACACCCATAATGTGTGGCTAACTTTTGATCTAAATGCCGTTTTTCAGTAAGCCAAAGGCATTATGTCTGAACAGAGCTGCAGCTCACATGACTTTTAAATTGTGCTGTGAATCAAAAGGATCTATTCACAAACAAACAAAAAAGAGGATTTGAGACCAACCTTAAATCCATCTGACCAGATTATTATTATTATTATTACCTCAGGTGTGTTCATGTAAACGGCAGATAAAGAAAACCAGAACATGGACTTCCTATGTGGAGATCCCCTGGTTAAAATTCGCTCTGAAACTGCAGCTATGGTCAGAAATGTTTAGTTAGCATTTAATGTTGTGGAAAATATGTTAAACTGCATCAGCAGCTCAAAAAGCTAAAAGATATTTTATAAAATCTGCAACATAACTTTACAACAAAACAACCAACTTGGCAACCAAACTGAATAAAGAACCGGAATCAGGCGAACCTTATAGTCACTGTGAAACATTCATTTCAAACTAAATGGACTTTTTGTGGAGAAAGTGGTTATTTTTGTCTAATCATCACATTTTTTTAACTTCTGCAACTTGTGAAGATATTTTACTGAATTCTGTGATTCTTTGTGGTTATGATGAAAAAAGGGAAAAAAACGACATTTAATTCTCTAGCAATTTTTTAATTTAAAATACAAATCTCTACTAGGAATGTCACAATAAACCAGTTAATCACATGATGAATTACAACAAGCTCAATAATTCCTATTTGCATGATTTATTGTTGTTCTCTTTTCGTTCTTTCAAAAACTGGACTGCAAAGGTTTTCAGTCTGGTGTTTTAGTCTCTACTAGTCATTTTTTAAACCTTCATAATTCATTGTATTTGTTGTTTCTGTTTTATTTATTTGGGATATTTAATCAATTTCTAGAGTTAAATGTTCATTAGAAGTTAAAGTTTATTGTTCTTTGAGAATGTGTTCTTGCATTACTTTGCCATAAGCATTACATGATTTTAAAATGATCTCAAAACAACAATATCATCACTATAACTTCTAGGAAAATTTATCATCCAGCAAAATGATAAATTTCTGGGAAAATTTACCATTATTATAGTGACAGGTATAGACAGGTATAATCTCTACTTTCAAGTAGGAATGTACCAATTGCAGTTTTCTAGTTTTCTGGCCGATCATCCACTAATGTTAATTTTTTTTGTCTGAAAAGTTGCAACAAACAACAAATTGGCAACAGCGAAAGAGACCAGGTTGCTGCTTTTCAGACTTTTGCAACAGCAGATAAGACCAGTTTATGATGCGATTATTGGCTGATCACAGACAATGAATAAAAACAAAAATTAAGGATTTACTGGCTGGCCAATTTATCCGTGCCATCCTAGTTTCAAGTGTGTCAAAATTAAGTTACCCAAAATACTTTTTTTGTGAAAATACTTAAGATCAATAAATTACAAATTCCTTATGTTAATTACATTTATGTTTACTCAGCATTAAAAATGACACTGATTAGACTTGTTGAAACATGTTTTTTTTTAAATATAACTTAACTTGAACATAATTCATTGTTTTCTGCAGTCACTGTGACACATTTTACTGAATAAATCATTTCCCATTTCCTTTTCGCCAGGTAGTGGTTATGAGAAATGGTTCATAATGTGTCCTGCAGAGTTAAACGAAGGTTAAATAAAACACATTTTATTGTTGGGAGTCAGTGTGAAAGACCCCTCTGAAGCCGACTCATTTGAAGGAATATGAGCTGTCAGCATGACACAGATTTTACCCTCGTATATAAAAACTCCTCATCCATTGTTGTGATTCATTACAGAAAACATAAACAGGTCAAATAAAGCAGACCAGACTGGAGACTTTACTATTCAACTCATGAAAAATGCTTTTTGGTAAAACAAAATCTCATCTCTAGCATCTCATACTTGAAACCAGACATTTAATAATTATAATTTTGATTCTGTTTTAATCAAAATTATATATATGTGCTGCTTGTTGTTGCTCATTTGGGACAAACTATAATCTTGTATAGTGATGCTCATCTTCTAAAGGTTGAGTAATTATCTCCTCATGACTTATCCAGTCACATAAAAAACTAATGTTCTGTTTTTATTGAGTTTGTTTTACCGAAGTAAAGCATTTACACTTATTTTATGAGTAGACATGAAGACAAGAGATGCAAAAGCTTTCAAAAAGAATGACTTAGTTTTCTCCATCATCAACGTCTACTCTTGCGTTCTGTGCTATCAACAGTAAATCTGCTTTAATGGGGTTTTCCACATCTGTCTCACTTTGTTCTTTGTTTCAACTAAACAATCCAAGCTGGAAGAAGTTGGTGACTAAGGGGAAATGGTAAACAATGCCAAAGAAAACACGAGCTGCAATTGTTTTGCCATGATCAGGATTCACTTCTTTTAATTTGGATGTGGGTAATTGTTACCACCCCCTGTGAAACCACTGGTATTTTGCCAACTTTATGTGGAATCTCAGAAAATTGCTCCAAAACCAAGGGAAAAATAATACATGCTAACAATAATAATAGTAGTCGTGTATTTGGAGCTACACAACTTCTCCAATCAAAGCTTGATTCCCAAATTAGGACAGAAATAAGGAGCAGTAGGTAAATAGCTTTTTGGTAGAAAGCTATTGTGAGTAGCTTTAAACCAAAAAAAAGAGCCGATTTTCTGCCCAAAACACAATTTTGTATGTAATATGAAAATCTTGTACAACTCAATAAGTCTGCAACCAATATATACTGCTCAAAAAAATAAAGGGAACATTTCACTTTAATTTTGTGTGTGGCTCCAAATCCAGGCCTCCATTGGTTAATAAATTTGATTTCCATTGATGATTTTTGTGTGATTTTGTTGTCAGCACATTCAACTTTGCACAGAACAAAGTATTCAATGAGAATATTTCATTCATTCAGATCTAGGATGTGTTATTTGAGTGTTCCCTGTATTTTTTGGAGCAGTGTACTTCGTTACCCAGGCTTGTTTGCCACAGTTGAAGTTGCTTCAGGTTTTCACATTATCATTGTGCTTTATTTTTTTGAGCAGTGTATAAATAATCCTTGTCGTCTGTCTGGTACAATCAGAGTGTGGGCTGCTTTTTGTGCTCCAATTGGTTAATTTGGGATTAAACTTTTAGCTGCACTGAATAATTAATGGTTTGTTATTTTTTTAGGGAAGATTATAGTTTCAGGAATTTGCAGAATTACAGAACAAAATACCCGAAATATAGACCAGTCCTGATAACGACTAAACTGCTAACTGGTCAGGCTTTTCTAAAAATATGTAAAGGGTCAGATCTTCATCAAATCCTTTAGCTTAAAAACAATAAAAGCTCTTTATTTATTTAGAATATGCATCATCACAGTTTTCAGTTAGGAAATCCCATTTTACAGTAATAAACTAACTTTTTGTCCTTATTAGTGATCAAATAACCAGCATTTATTCTACCAACTCACTATTTGCCAAAGATCATGGGTTGAACTTTTAATTGTGTTTATTTTGGTTTTGTTTTGCTAATGTTTGTGATTTTCTGTGTCTTTTCCCAGATATCAATGTAAACTAAGGGACAATCAGGACTGTCTAACTCTATTTATATGCAGTCAGTAACATTTAAAAGCTCTGACAGTTGGACCCATTTCGTTTTTACATCAAAATGTTTTGAAAGTTTTTAAAACATAGCAGTTCGTATTATCCCAGAGGTCATATTAAGCATTGAAACAACTGGTTTTGACAGTCTGTTTTGAAGATTTTTGCTCAAATAACTAAAAAAATGATCCGTTTTACAATGAGAGAAAGTGTCCAAAACAGGCTTTTAAAGTTTAGTTATTGTTTACATAATCAAAATGAGACAGTTTGCTCTGGAAAGACCCTTTCTTCTATCCTATTGGGGTGGAAACTGTAGAGATATAGAACTAGTTGTCAGTTTTTATTTCATTAAGAGCTTTCTTCACCTGCTGAAAACTGGAAGATTAGATTATTCTTGTACTGATTGGTGCATCAATACTTCAAAGTCCAAAAAAACACTTAAAACCCTGGAAAACTGATGACAGATTTTGGGAGATGACAAGAAAGTAACAGTTGATTTGAGATTTTTAAACACTAAAATAAGACAGAAGAGGAAAATACAAACAAATAATGGTTGTATTAATATTTTAAACCTAATAGTAAGTGAGATAATAAAGTTAATTGTTTGAGTTAAGGTTTTTAAGACAATAGAGTGAGGCAGAGAAGCTGTTGGTCAATAAAGTTGAGGTTCATGCCACTGACACACACCTGTTCACCAGGGAGTGGTACAGTCGATATGCACTTTAGGTTTCCTTATTTCTGACTAGAAACGGCAACAGGTCACAGTGAACTGTTGGTTAATGTAAAGAAACCGACGTGACAGCGTTGGTTTGCGTACAGAAAGGCCGGTTGAAACCCACCTTCGCCTTGGACACGTCGTCTCTGTTGCCCCGGAGCTGCAGCCATATCTGCCGGGATGTTTTGCTGCCGTGCGGCTGTCCTGTGTGGTCTAACAGACCAATAATTGTAAACGTCACTTTAAAAACTTGCTCCACTCGGGGCCTGGCACACTTCAACTCCTCTTCTTTGTCCTCCAGGACCGTAAACTCGTCCACTGTGGGGGCCTCCGCTTGCTGCCTCCCGGCCGACGCAGGGAGCCTGTTGCCCGGCTGCTCCGGGCACGCGAGCTCGGTGATTCGTCTCATTCCGAGCAGAGGCCGAGTTGTTGACATCCCGCCCTGTCGCTTCTGACCACCGCGCCTCTATATTCAGACCTCCAGGCGCTGCTGGCGGCTTCTGGGAGTTTTCATGGCCTCTTGTCTGCGTTTGTTACGGAGCTGCGACGTAACGTTAACCGCCTCTAACGACATGAACGCGGCGGCGGCGGCGGCAGCTAGCGTTAACAAGTCGGAAGCTCGGTCTGACGTATCCGGAAAGTCCCAGTGATGGCCTCATCAGAGCACTACAGCCCGGTCGAGTGTTGTGTCCTAAGATGATTATCTGCCCGACAGCTAAGAAAATAAAAACTCCGCTCAAACTAACCAAATTTCTGACGCCATCCTGATCATTAAATAAGATCACAGATTATTTAAAATGTGAGGATCAAACAAACAAAAATAGGTTTCACATCGGGGTAAAAACCACCGCTCTGCCCTCTGGTGGTGAGCAAGTGTTACTAGCTTGAGATTGATTCAATTCAAAAAAACTCTATTAAAGTTGCAGTGTGTATCGTTTATATTTTTTTTTTTTTCCTTTTACATATTTGTCGTGAGAGATTGGTAAAAGACAAATATTCTGGGAAAAAATAGGTTCCTCTGCCTTGATTTCTGTTAATACTACAGCATGTCAGAAGATCCTATTGTGAATGCTCAGGCGAGTTAGCACAACGATGACGGATAAACTGTTTTTCTGTAACGGTAAACCGTTTCTCAGTCAATAGCACGTTTAGCAGTGAGTGAGGATGATTGACAAGGCGAAGACACTCCTCTTTAGCGCTGGATTTCTTCAGATATCAAAATAACTCAGAGGAGGTAGAGATCCATTTTTTTCACAGATTATGTCTCATAAATTGTCACGAAATTTTAACAAAATGTAAAAAAACATATTCTTTTTAAAAACATGACTCATACTACAGTTTTAATCCAAACGGTAACTAAATGTCGTAACTCCTATTATATAAGGTTCTTCAAAGAGTTTTTGTAGACGTTGATGGCTGTGGGCAGGAAGGATCTCCTGTACCAGCCTGTTATACAGCGACTTTGAAGAAGTCTCTGACTGAAGACACTTCCTACTTTCACATCTACATCTGACATCTTCATTCATGAGAGACTCACTGGTTCCTAAGGATGACTAAGGTTAGAGGTGTGTCTGGATCAGAGATGGGCAACTCCAGGCCTGGAGGGCTGGTCTCCTGCAACTTTTAGATGTATCTCTACTTCAACACACCTGAGTCAAATAATGAGGTCATTAGCAGGACTCAGGAGAACCTGATTGCACTTAGGAGGTGATTCAGCTGTTGGATTCAAGTGTGCTGAACCAGGGTGACATCTAAGATTTGCAGGACACCGGCCCTCGAGGACCAGGACCAGGACACCCCTGGTCTGGATAGATATTACTTATCTTACCATAAATAATTTAAATATTACTTTTGATTCAATTTCACTGTGTTTTATTGTGTTTTGCAGGATTTAAGAACAATCTTTATGTTTCTGTGAAAATGTTGACATTTTGGTGTAAATTTGTTTACTTTTGCATCTCAGTGCTGCCCTCCTTGGATGAACAGTGGCTACTGCAGCTGTACGATGGTACAGTTTGGTTTGTGTCACATTTTGCCCAATTTGCCCTGTGGCTGGGTTTTGCTTTTAGTTACAGTTTAGTATTTGTCAAACTTAAAATACGTTGTTTAAAATAGCCAAACATTAGGTTTCTAAGCCCATTTAAGATGTCATCTTGTGAGGCGCGACATGCTCTAAATCCACCATCTTGTTATCCCAAAGTACTAAATTAGATCATTTACTACTGTGAATGATCAACAGAGTAAGAATCAATTGCAACAGAGCAACATAGACTGAGAACTATTTGGCTGTTACTTCCTGATAATCAGTCATTGCCTCGACTTTTAATTTTAATCTAAATTACTAATTTTGTTTTTAACTGCCTGCAGCATTGTGCCTATTTTTGCACAACGGCATACTCCAGATGGGCAAATATTTTCCTGTAAAATCTTAAATTAAAATGTACAGAAGCAGTTTGCCTCATTTAAACTGATCTTCCTGCAGAGTAGAAATGTTGTGCTTTTAAACCAAACTGCTGAGTTGTTTAGAAATCCTATGCGGGCGCTCAGAGCAGATTAATCTACTCTTTTTAAAAGTGCTTTGGTGTGAATTGAGAATAGCCCAAAGAGTCCCTTTAGAGGCCTGATTGTTGTACTTTACTGACCACAGTCGATAGCCAGCTTCAGGAAACAAATGTTCTCCCCTGATCACCTGATATTACCTCAGTGCAGCAACTCGCTGCCGGAATGGAGATTAAAACGGAGCCGTTTATAGAGAAATATTGAAACAGAGGAACACAAACCTCACAAGGGCTGCACACAAACACAGAAACAAGTTTTATGGAAGCTGAATGCTGGCGACGACATAACAGGAGCTTAATTTATACCTAACATAATATATAAACTTTATATGACTCTGTCTATGTGAACTGTGGGATAAAGAAGAATACAATGGCCTCAGAATAGTTTGAAGTTTAGTTTCAACATGTTGGATTGAGATTTCTGTCATGAAGTTAAAAAAAATAATTCTAAAGAAAGTAATCAGTCATGGCATACCTTTCTTAATCCACTTTAAAGTGGACCTATTGCAGAAAATTCATGTTTTGCGTTTTTGTACTTTTATTTGAACAATGTCTAAAAACAGACCGAGTGCTTTATAAAAATAACACCCAGCCATTTTTGGGCTATAAGTTCAAGTTTTTTTGGTGTTTGGAAAAAACTTCCCGATTGTTTTGCACTCTTACCGAGCAACCCAATCCAAGCCCGTCTCCTAGCAACCCAGGCAGAGTTCCAGAACAATTGGTCAGATGGTCTTACAGTTGTGTGCGCTGTACAATGGCTGCTGGAAAACATAAGTGTTTTGCTGATGAGTTACCATCCAACAACAAGTTGGTGCATTCTTCCTGGTTGTGTAAGAGGCTCTACTTCTGCTTTTCAAAGATGTGTGGTTGTATAATTGCGCATCTGTTTGAAACCATTTTCATGTGAGTGTAAACGTCGAGGTGGGGGGCGTGGCCAGCAGCAGCTTATTTGGATTTAATGTGACAGAGGCCCTAAAACAGCTAAAATGTCATTATCTAAATCTGCTTTTGTGTAAAAGTATACAATATT